GAACAACAATACATTTCTGATGCTTAACTTATTTATTTAACAATGAATCACTAGAATAACATCGAAACAAATTTTGACTAAGAACATGGATTACACAGTTTTGTTGTTTCTTGAGCAGAAAGTCTATGCTACATATGTAAATTCACGTCAATATTTGTAATACATAATTGAACATCACTTAAACTACATAACAGCTGATCCTCAACTGTTTAGAAGAATAATACATTCTTAAGAAGAGAATATAGAATCGTGAATTCGTCGAAACGTAGGACATTTTGAACACTTACTCTAACTGATTCAATATTTCATGTTTCTAGTCAAATATCTCTCAATTTTCTACTTATGATTCTTTGTTCCATCGATACCTTCAGCACAAAAATAATTGTATTGTTTTTGAATCTGAATAAATAGGTAATTGAACTCAATAAAATTCATTTTATACCAGCATCATTACTACTCCATTATTTTCAAATCGAAATATTCCGAAAACGGAAAATAGTATCGAGTTTCACCAAGAGTACCTATTTGGTGTTGAATTGAATGATGTTCAAGTTCATATCATATTTGGATTGAAAAATCTAACCTCAAAAAAGTTATGCTCCAAACTACTTGGTACGACCCCTGTAACTAGCGCCCTTTATGAGAGTCAGATATAGAAACAAATTCATGTGATGTGTTAGATTCCAAAAAACATCCATACGAAATGTCATTACAATGTTGCCAGTAGTTTCGACATATTCGTGAAAAATGTGTAAAAAAATCATTTTTTCAACACCTTGTATCATGAAAACGGATGCCGTTACGACATTTCCTCACTGAGCAACCCCAACTTATTTTGCAATGTTCTACCTACCTTAGCAAGGAGGTCAGGTTTTTTTTTAACACCCTGTATGTATCATTCTCATTAGACTTTTTATTATATTTGTCTAACATTACATAATTATATACCTGTCAATATCTTTGGGAAGTCTGAACAAATGCAAATCGATGGGATAACTCTGCTGCATCCTAAATCCCAAAAAATGTGGAAGTTTTAGCAAAACGGAATGTTCTTTTCTAACTGATACGCGAAATGAAAATCGTACCACACTGCAGGGTTTTTTTAGGATTCGGAAACTGGAAACAGTTGCCATAGCTCTAAAATTCACGAGGCATTTGTATATTTATATTTCAATTCAACATCTTCTGGATTCAAATCTCAAATTGTAATATTGATGAATTTTAGAGGAATCAGGTTTCCTCTAACAGGCAATTTATTTTTGGGCTACTTCCAAGTATATCACATTCATGTAATTTAAAATAGGTTCACCAACCCAAGTGTAACCTAAAACATTTTCAAGGCAGTTGATCAATCAATAATTTTCCTAATCAAATGACAACATTATTTCAACAGCGAGTTCTGGCGAATCATACCAAAGACTTTAATTCTGTGTATGTTGATAACATCGCATTTACTCGAGTCGACTTGAATGTGAAATGCTACGCATCTCGCGGTGTGAGGTTTCATCACGTTTCGCTCGCGTCTTCCGAACTATTTTTCTACAGGTCTCTATTTCATGCAAGTTTCGTGCATTTTCTTGCTTGCACTCTCTTGTATACTGTCTCTTCGCAGGTTACACAATACGAAACACTCAAATATATTGATTATTTATCTCTGTAGCAGCATATGTTGAGAAACAAAAGCCTGTTATAATATTCAAAATGGTAATATGATTGACGGCGAGTTTTTGTCCTATTAACTGGACATTGCTGCCGTACCTCTCGAGCTTGTGTTGGGCATGTGACAAACCGGAAGCTACGTATGATTTCCTGGTGCAGACAATTTGAACTTTTTCAACGACATTTATCGGTTCTGCAAGTCTGCAGCAGTGCATTTCAGAAAAGTTGCTGTAACTTTTTCTTGTCGAAAGCAATTTTTTGTACGTAAACCTCAATGGTGTTAATATTTTTTTTCATATTACATATTACATATACAGGGTGTCCCGCAAAGACCACGTCAAACCTAGAGAGAATGTCTTACCGTTTTCGAGATTTTTTATTTGAAAATATCCACTACCAAAGTTTTCAATAAAAATATTTCTCACAGCCCCCTTCAAAATGTTTGGAGAATGTTACGTTGAAATCATTCTTCAGCAATATTTACTGAAAAAATGAACCAAAAAGGTGTAACATTATACCAATCGTACAGACAAGACTATTGAAAGGGGCAAAAATTCAATAATTTCGAAAAAAAATATCTCGAAAACGGTGCGACTTTTATAATGGGAATTTTGCCATGGCAGGTGGATTATCCTTTGACCTACATTCTCCCTAAGTTTGAAGTGGTCTTTACGGGACACCCTGAATATGAATAGTTAAAAAAAAAACGATGAAGACATTTGATATTTTGTTATTTCAAACGTAGAGATTGATATTCTACGCACATACTACTACTACTACTACTAAGCAAACCCAATTCGTTGAAAACAAGTCTATGATATTACCAATTTACCGGAAAGCACACACACAACGATATATATTTTTTTATGGACCTAAATTGTACAATTTCCTGCCATACAACATAAAAACTACCACCTCTTTGAAAAAATACAAAACATTAATGAAAAAATGTATACATGAAAATAAAAACTTATTAATTAAAAATTTTCTGACTGACAAAAAACCAAAAACCATCACTTAATGATAATACCTACCTTCTCGTTTCGGTTAACTAAACCCTTGTTTCTCACCTCATTCTCTCTTACCGCCTTCTTTTTTCTTTGCTATTGTTATTATTTTCGTAATCTTGAATCTCTTTTATTTTTATTTTTTTTTATATTCCTTAATATTATTGGAATCTGCTACCTACCGCTAAATTTGATGAATTATAAACCACTCCAAACTCATTGCAAGGCCACAACACAAGCATTTCAAATGCTTAGGTGGGTTGTTTGGTTTTTGGAAGTGGAACATATATTTGAAACAAACTATGTTAATTCTGTAAATTATGGTATGTGAATAAAATTGAAATTGAATTGAAATACACTTTGAAGCGCACCTCTTGAACAAGTGGGCTTTGGACGATGCAATGAAAAACAACAGAAGCTTGTTAAAAATAGGACTTTCAATACACGAAACTTGCATTATATTGAAATCTATAGAAAAATAGTTCGTAAGACGCGAGCGACGTTGTCAACATAGCTAGAATGAAAGTTTTTGGTATAATTTGCCAGAATTCGCTGTTGAAATAATATTAATATTATGTGATATACTTGAAAGCATTTGCGCCCAAAACTAAATTGCCTGGTCCAGGAAACCTGATTCCTCTAGAATTCTTCAATATAACAATTTAGGATTTGAATCCGGAGCCTGTTGAATTGAAATATAACTATACAAATACCTCGTGAATTTTATAGCTACGGAAACTGTCCCTGAATCGTAAAACAGATCATTTTTATTGCGCAAATGAAACTATACATAGATACTATAATCTGATTGTCGGCGTGTCAGTGTGAAAAAAACATTCCGTTTTGATAAAACTTCCATATTTCTTGTGATTTGAGATGCTGAAATTCACTAAACGGTGCAGCAACGTTTGTGCTGTGAATGGGTGTTTTAACAACTACCAGGGTTATAAGTTGTAATTGAAAGTCCATGAATTGTCTATTCTGTTGTTTTATGGTGTATGCATCCATGTCATGTCTGTCATGTCAAGTTTAAGTCTGTCAAGTCTATCAGATATATACTACTGTCATAATGTCATTTAATAATAATTATTATCGAATGTAATGTCTAAAATGGAAATCCAGAGACATCGTTGTCCCTAGTAAAGTTATTAAATAAAGAAACCATCAAAACTTGTTAGTATATTTTCGGACAACATAACAAGAGTTATCCCATCGATTTGCATTTGTCCAGATTTCCCAAAGATATTGACAGGTATGTATGTAATATTATACAAACATAATAAAAAGTGTTATGAGAATGATACATAAAATACAATATTCAGAATCTCAGAATTGGATGTCATAAATCGTACAGAAGATTTCTTTCTCAAATGAAGGCAAAATGTCGAAACAACCTGTTTTTGGGCTACAGGGTGTTAAAATTTTTCAAAAAATGGAAATTTCATCTGTATTAACGATATCGTTCAGAATATTTCAACGCTGGTCTCATATACGGTACATTCGGAAAACAAATTATTTCTTGGAAATTTCAACACTTTGTAACTCAAAAATAGTACATTTCAAAAATTATTTGGTCATAACAAATGTTTGTATTTATTATGAACAAGAAATATTTTGTAGGATTTATGACTTCCAATCTTGAGACACCTAATATACCTATAGATATCATTGATAAGGCGCCTCCGAATCAATAATAATTTTCTCTGTCTTTATTATACATCACGAAAATTTAAAATTTTGAAATAAGTATCATCGAATACGTACAGTAAGGACCAAAAGTGCGTCGCTTACCCTCCTTAACCGCTTTATTTTTGAAATTACAAAGAAAAATTGAGAGCTTTCGAAAAGTTATGAAAGTGAATTACATTGTGTTTCAAAAATATTCACCAGGAATACTTGCAAAACTACATGAATTGCTTTCCATAGTTGATCGATGAACGCATTGAAATTGCATTCAAATAGGGGCTGTTATCATATATTCATGAAATCAAAACGTACACCTAAATCAAAATCATATTGGTCATTCATGATTTCATGATTCATTTAGTTTTTATTTCACTCATCTATTCATCTTCCCGTGCTTGAAGTACGCCTATGCTCACTAAAATCTTCTACGTGTATTCCAGCGAATTCATATAGAACGCTGGTGGTCTAGCGGTAGCGAAATCTTTTAGGCGGAAGCTCAGCTACCTGCCAAGCACGCCAATAGACGAATCAAGGCGATCCGTCGGCATTGCTCAAATTCGAAGGATTTTCGAAGCTTGAACCTTCTTGTATAATGTCCATTCTCTGATTTTTCACTCACTTACCTACCTACTTTATTTATGTTTTCAGATTAAAACTACTGATCTAGTAAATTGCTGCAACAACGTATCTAAGGTTCTCAAGCAGTATGACAACCAAGATCGCAGCAAGCACTCTCAAAATCTCATGTGGCGCTTCTCTTCTTCAACACTCGGTAGAGGCAAGCGTCATCGCAACTACCATCGCCCTCTCGACACCATCCAAGAGAAGTCCCAATGCTTCAGCAAGAAACTTCGTGCCTAAATTATGACCAAATAAGTTTAATTCACAGTAAGCACTACTAGCCCCTTTTCCTGGAAATATTTTTTTGTGGTTGAGATTTTAATTGATTCAAATAATTTTAAATATATGTAGCACGTTCTAATGCAAGATAAAACCAAATGTGACTGATTTCAGATTGTGAGCTTCATAATGTTCAGTTTGCCTTCGCTCTTTGATGAAGTGTCTTGCATGAACGTGTTCTCTTTTTAAGATTTGCATGTACCGATATGAAAAAAAAAAGAAAAAAAATCTGTGAAATTTGTGATGTGAGGCGAGGTAAATATTTTTTATATCATTGTTTTTTGTCAGTAATGATAATTATTGTATATTTTTTTACCATAAATGATTTTAAAATTTATTGTTCGTAATTCTAATTTTAATTGTACAAAATATGTTTCATTGATTTAAAATATTACCATCACCTTCGCATCACCAAAAAAAATTTAATCACTACAAAAATTTATAAAAAAATTATAAATAATAAATACTAAAAAAATACATAAATTCATAAATACAAAAAAAATTATATTTAAATTTGTCACGAACGATATTGTGTTGTAAAAATTAGGGACTTTTAATTTCTTCAAAGTGCTTACGGATAACATCACCATTTGTTTGAAATCTACCTAGTCGTTACTTTCATTTGTTACCATGTAATGGCCTTTCAAATTGAATTGCTAAAGATCATTAATAATATCTTGTGTTTGATTAACCCATAGTAGCCAATGCCTCTGATTTCGACTGCAATCTACTTGGAGGATAACATCTTGAATTTATTGATGCGTTCAAGGTCAAGAGTGGAGGATCCGAGATTTTCTTCTGGGGTGGCGCACAGTAGCGGATTCAGATAAAATTTTTGAAGGCTTTAGGACGGACGGGCTTATAGGAAAATGGTGCACATGTTTATGTAGATATATGAACAGAAGAATAAATGAATTGTGAAAATTCAACCAACAAAATTAGGAATGAGCAACAGAAATGATTCTCAAAAATCATAAACCGTACCTCAAACCCTCCAGAACGAAAAAAATAGCCTTTTTGTTCTGTAGTCGAGGATAAGTGTAGAAGAAGAAGAAGAATTGTCTAAATCCTATATACAGCAGTTTAGCTCATTTTCGATTAGTGCTGTACCATTACAATTCAAAGCTATTTCTGATATCATATGATATCTAAGCAGTCATTTTCGAACAAATTACAAGCTTTCAGGTTATCCACAGAATATCATGAAATACCTATTCCACAACGCAATAAACCATTATCAGAACACATAAATTATATAAATAAAATAGGTATATAAAAAGGAATATCTGAACATGGTTTCAGTTCCAAATAATCTGAATTATAAATTTAATCACAAACATCTCACACAAAATGACGAAACGTCCTTGTCTGTCGTTTACATAGGTACACTTTCTCCTCATTCTCCTTCGTTTCCCCACTTTATGTCCTGATCAGAGCGCCATCTCGCATCCTCTCCACCGTGTATCTTTGTAGATACATCGAATGTACATCCCTAATAACACAAGTACATCCAAGGGACTTCCCAGGGACGTCCCTCATTTTATACTAGGACATCCCAAGGATATCCTTTGTCGGGACAAAGTACATACTAGGGACGTCCCAGGGACATCCGCTGGCCGACAAAAAAGGCATCCAAGGGATATCCTTCTGGTACGCCCCTGGTATGTACCAAGGACGAAGGAAGGATATCCCTAGGACGTCCCAAGGAAATTCCAGGAACATCCCTTCGACAAAAGAAAAAAAAATGTAGGTCGAGTAGGGATAGATAGTTTATCAGGCACGCACCTTACTCCATTGGCTGATATTTCTTCTGAAAATTTATGTACTAAACAGATTTATAAACAGGACTAAACTACAGAAACCTGAATGAATACAACTTTGGATTTGGGTATAATTATTATCGTTCTTGGGTATTTAAAAATGAGGAGCATTATGCATTTACGATTTCTGTTTGCGAAAAATGGTCATTTCTCAAGAAGTTCTGAGACTATATTCTTTATTTTCATTACAGCTATTTTCCGGGAGGAAACCAAACCTTTTCAAAAAAATTCCACTCAATATTTTGATGAAAATCGATGACTCTGATGTGAATGAATATCATATATTCCAGGGACACGAATAGAATAACCTAGGGATGTACCGGGCGGGATGTCCACTGGACAACCACTGCGGGACATTCCCTGGATGCTCCAATCATGTCCTTGTACCGCGGGACAAAAAAGGGATGTACCTAGGACATCCCTGTGTTGTTAACGTTATATTCATAATCAGTTCCAAAAATAAATTCCCAATGAACTCGATATAGGTATGAAATGTAATTTGCAGAAACATACATAATCAGTTCTCAATGTCAATTTCTGAATGAAATTTCATGGAATTCATGATTTTGAAATGTGTTCTGCAGGTACATTCAGGATGAGTTCCTATTGGCAATTCCCACCGTACTTTTGTGAGTATGAACTTCATTTAACAGATACATTCATAATCAGTTTTGATGGTAATTTCTAATTGAAACACTGGTATTTATGAGAATGGAATGCGTTTTGGCATGTTCATTAATAACAAGTTCTTGATAGAATTTGATAACAAACTATTTATGAATAAGATAAAGAAATTCCCAACGAACTCGATATAGGTATGAAATGTAATTTGCAGAAACATACATAATCAGTTCTCAATGTCAGTTTCTGAATGAAATTTCATGGAATTCATGATTTTGAAATGTGTTCTGCTGGTACATTCAGGATGAGTCCCTATTGGCAATTCCCACCGTACTTTTTTATGAGTATGAACTTCATTTAACAGATACATTCATAATCAGTTTTGATGGTAATTTCTAATTGAAACACAGTGGTATTTATGACAATGGAATGCGTTTTGGCATGTTCATTAATAACAAGTTCTTGATAGAATTTGATAACGAACTATTTATGAATAAGATAAAAGTGATATCGAGGGAACTGTAAAGTGACTAGGAAAGAGATTATTGGACATAGCCCTCACAAAGAGATGACCGTATAAACGTGTTTCGGGCTTTTGGATTTTGGCCTGATGAGGCAAGGTGGTGGGGCCCAACAGGACGGACAGCCTGATAACGACCGCGACGAAAATGGACGCCTTGAGTGGACAGATGATCTTAGAGACGACCGTCTGCAGTGCTTCGAGAGCAGCGATCCAGGGCGTAGGGGATACATGAGGCGGATGCATGCTCTGTGAGCAGAGCATGGAGCACTCACCGCTTCTTCCTTCAATCTGATACCAACATTAGGCTGAATTGAAAATTTAGGGAAATTCGAAGAAAAACATTTTCACATACTCCTAGGTATGAAAAGAAATCCTGTTGAGGCATAGTTAAATTTCCATCTTTGGTAGAATTTTCATATGCTCTAAAATGTGAATAAATTCCTCCATCAATCAGTTCAGTTTCTGACTTTGCATATGCTTCACATATATCACAAGTATGTTGCTGCAAACATTTTTAAAAAAAATACCCACCAACATAGTAGAATGCATTTTTCTTACGAATTTCTAATTGAGTGTACTCATTAGTATTGACAAGTAACTTCTTTATATCTGCTGGTTCTTCAAAATTGACAGCATATTTCTTTATAGCATCTGGTGTTATAGCAGCTAAAATACTATCAAATTCTTCCAAACAATTGGTACCTTCAGACTGATCAAAGTAATTTGAACAAAACATTTTCTTAAAAGTGTTGGCAAACTGGATGGGCGTAGGATTCCTGCAGCTCCATTTTGTTGTCGAATACTGCCAAAGAAATTTTCTAAACAGTCTTGTTGTAATCGACGAGTCATTAGAATATGAATGCCTCTGTCTTTCAAATCTGTTGACAACATTAATACCGAATCAATGGTAACCTCCCAACCTTTCAAAAATTTCATTTGATTTGTTACATTTTTTCCTGAAGAATCACGAACAATTAAATTCTTGAATAAAACTGCCATCTCATATCATACTCTGATAAATTTGTCTTCATCCGGGAAAAAGTATCAGAAGAAGGCTGCCTCCTTTCCGGATACCTATATCAGTAATTATAATATATGGATATATAACTTCATAAGCACAAATAATTTATGTTAACATACCTTTCGGAGTATAATTCTGAAGCATTATGTGAGTTTTCAATGCATTGTATGAAACAAACTAACATATCATATTTTTCATAATTTTGATACAGTGCTGCCATCGTTTGAATCGCAGAAAAATACGAAAATTTAACAAATCACGAGTGTGAAACTCTTGAAAACACAGTATAGCATGAAAACTTGATGAGCGTTCATGTCAACATCTATTGACAGCTATAAACAACTTTGTTTTCTACTGAGTCACAACGACCTACTTGCGAAAACGCATAGTGAAAGAATATCTTTGAATTAAAACATCAATAATATAGAAAAATGTCAACTTTAATATATTTTCGGAAAGCCAAAAAAAATCTGAATCGAATTGTAGAGAAATATACAGAGTGTCCCATTTGAAAAAGAAAATGTTGGCTTCAATTTCTGAAAACGAGCCATTACGGAAACAGAATGAGTACGCCACTGTATTATGCGTAAAAAGTTATCCAAGGTCCCGTTCTCACCTTGCCAATAAGTTGGATACTAACCAAGATACGAGAGGTGCTCAAAAAGTGAGAATTTTCAATTTCGCCCTGTATCTCAAGAACATGGAGAGCTGTGACAATTCTGTTTGCGGCATTGTCCGTTTCACAAAAAAGTAAGACAGTAATGTGGAAACCGCAACTCTCTATCTCCAAAGACAACTGAGATATCGCACAAAAGCATCGAAAACTGGACACACTGTACATAAAAATCTGTCAGATACTTTTTTTTTCAGTCCTTCACCTAGTTGAAATTCATATTTGAACAAATTATTCCTTGTCGATTTCAATAAATGAGGAACATCAAATATATAATAAATTTTGTGGTTTTCTACAAAAAAATATGGGTTTTCTACAGAAATGTTTAGTTCTTTTGTTAACTTAACAAAATTTGATCCTTGATCAGAAGTCACTGCAAGGTGACTTTTAGACTTTTATAGAAGGTAACCGAAAAGTCAGCTGAAAATTCATAAACCTTTTATTAGGCCCTAAAAAGTATATTGTTGATGTTAACTGCTTGTATTCGTTAGAATATCTAGCACCTTTTGGACTCATCTGCAACAGCTTCATTTGTGTTTTTATAAAATTT